ATCGACAACTGACGACCCGACTTTAGCGAGGAAGTCAGCTCGCTGGTTGTCGTTTCTCGGAATTTGATGCATGGTACAGACTTCAAAAGTTTCTTGCACAGCTCGGGCTTTATTTACATAACTCTTCATTCTATCGTTTTTTATTTCGTAGTCCCCTTCGAGTTGGTGTATTACCAATTGAGAGTCGGAGTATATTCGCACCACGCGCGCTCCGAGCTCTTGAGCGATCTCCATACCTCGGATAAAGGCTTCATATTCTGCTTCATTATTGGAGACCCGAGGTAACCTAACAGCAAACTCGACTTCCGTTCCAGTGGGATCAATAACTATTATCCCTGCCCCCGCTCCCGAGGTTGTCGATGAACCATCCACGTAAATTTTCCACTCTTTTTCGATGGGTATCCTGGTGGTTTCTCGGATGAAATCCGCTAGCGCTTGTCCTTTGACCGAGGTACGGGGTTGATATTGAATCTCGTACTGTCCTAGCTCGATGGCCCATTTAACAATTCGCCCTGACGCGGTAGGTTGACCTAGGGTCTGCCGAAGGGGTAAGCTTGTGCGAATCACCATGGTATGCGACAGGAAATAAGGCCGGAGTCGTCGCGTAGTGAGGACCAGCGCGTATGCTATTTTCTCGACTTCAGAATATCGGCTTTCCGACGTAGTGAGGATCTTACTAGTATAGTAGATCGGTCTTTGTTGATTATTAACTTCCTTAAACAAAACCGAACTGATGGACTCATCACCCACTGACAAGTATACAAACAGGGTTTCACCCTTTTCAGGGGTGCTAAGAATCGGCAGGCAAGTAAGAGATCGTTTTAATGCTTCGAATGCGAGCTGGCATTCGGTGGTCCATTCGAACTGAGCTGTTTTCCTTAGTACTTTGAAGAAAGGCAGGCTCTTATCAGCCATTCGCGATATAAACCGAGCTAGGGCTACAACTTTTCCTGCCAAGGATTGGACTTCCTTGATGGAACGAGGAGGTGTCATCTGAAGTACGGCCTCCACTTTATCTTGGTTTACCTTGATGCCTTCCCGATTAACAATGTATCCCCGGAACTTTCCAGCTTGTACTGCGAATGCACACTTAGCAGGGTTCAACTTCATTCCATATAAACGAAGAGTTGCAAAGGTCTCAGCTAGGTCTGCGAGATGCGTAGTGCGCCTCTTGCTTTTAACTAACATGTCATCAACATAGACCTCAATGTTGCGTCCGAGTTGGGCCCGAAACATCCTATCCATCAATCGTTGATACGTGGCTCCTGCGTTTTTCAGGCCGAAAGGCATCACCACGTAACAGTAAGTCCCCGTGGCGGTGACAAAACTTACTGCTGGCTGGTCCTTTTCGTCTAGCGGAATTTGGTGGTATCCCTGCGAGGCATCCATCATACTAAGTAGCTCGCATCCAGCGGTGGCATCTACAAGCTGATCTATGCGAGGTAAGGGATAATCGTCCTTTGGGCAAGCCTTGTTTAAGTCCCTGAAATCGATACACATTCGCCATTGGCCATTGGCTTTCTGTACTAACACCGCATTGGACAGCCATGTGGGGAACTGGATTTCTCGGATATGCCCGATTTCCAGAAGTCGCTGCACTTCCTTCTGTATGATTTCGTCTTTTTCGATACCGAAGTGTCGCCGTTTTTGCTTGACAGGCCTGCACTCAGGCCGTAAATTGAGCCTGTGTACAGCAGTTCGCGGCGATATACCGGTCAAGTCACTTGGTTGCCAAGCAAAGATGTCTTCATTAGACCGTAATAATGCTATCAACTCGTCTCGGAGAGGTGGTTCTAGATCCTTACTGATCCGGGTTTGTTTCATCATGCCTGGGACGAGGTCGATCGTCATCAATTCGTCCATAGGTTGCACATGATTAACTTTATCCTCTGGGTCAACTCGGGGACGCTTCTCGTCTCCCAAATCTTCTTTGGTGAGGGTATCGCGTCGGCCTTTCTCTGCTATCTTAACCATTTCGACATAACACGATCTCGATTGGGTTTGGTCGCCCCTGACCTCTCCCACCATCCCATCAACTGGGAACTTAAGCTTTTGATGAATGGTCGAAGGGACCGCCCGAAAGGTATGTAACATTGGTCGTCCTATCACGATGTTATACGAGGTCGGCGACCCTTCAACGATGACAAAATTTACAGTTTGAGTGCGTGTTCGAGGTGGGGTTCCTATAGTGACAGGGATTTTAACTTGTCCAATCGGCGTCAGGGACCCTCCCGTGAACCCAAATATCGCTGTGGTGACGGGGAAAACCGGGAGGTCAAGCTCCATTTGTAGGAAGCACTCGTAAGATATGACGTCCACCGAACTTCCGGGATCAACGAAGGCGCGAGCGACGTCGTATCCTCCCACGTTAATCGTGATGAGGAGAGGGTCACAGTGAAAATCATCTAGGTCTGCTTCATCTTCAGGACTGAACGAGATAGTGGGATATTGACGATACTTCGGTGTAGAGATTTGGCAAACTTCATGATTATTTTTGAGGCTACCGAGATGACGTCTCCTAGCCCGGTGAGTATCTCCTCCCGTAGGACCCACTGAAATCATCTGAATGTACCCTCTTTTCGGTGCTGGCGGTGGGGGCGGTGCTCGTGGCGGGTTCCCGAACTGGGCTTCACGCTTTTGTCCCCGAGGTGAATCTATCTTCACAAAATCCCCGATCTTGTTATCTCTGATGAGACGTTCAACTTCGTCTTTCAGATGTGCGCAGTCGTCGGTCGTATGTCCGTATTCGTTATGAAAACGGCAGAAAGTACCCAATGTCGGATCTCGACGGGGGGCTCCGCGAGCAGTTCGAGGCCACCGCAGATCAGCTCTCTTCTCGATCGCGTATAGCACCTGGGATAGAGGAGCTGTAAGGGGCTGGTATGATTGGAACCGAGATCCCTTAGCATCCGGGACAATACTCCGACTAGGAATATTGGCATCCCTGCGAGGTAACATGGGCTCCTTGCCTCTCTTTACTTCGTTGACCCGTACGTTTGTGGCTTGGTGAGATTCCTCCACTTTCTGTTGGCGGGCTTCTTCTAAGTTAATGAACCTAGATGCCCTTTCTAACAAGTTATCGAAATCAGGTGATGGCTCCAGCGCTAGAGCTCGGAAAAATTCATCATCTCTCAACCCTTGTGAAAGGGCCGCCATGAGCACCTCGTCACTGGTAGTCGGGACTTCCAGGGTGGCCGAGGTAAACCGTTTGATGTAACTCCTGAGGCTTTCCTTCTCCTTCTGGCGGATGCTGAACAACGATAGGGAGGTTTTCTTGCACTTTTTCGAGCTGGCGAACTGGTTCATGAAGGCCTTAGCAAATTGTTCGAAAGATTGCATGCTCCCGGAAGGCAACAAACCGAACCAGGCCTGAGCAGGTCCGGCTAGGGTGGTGGCGAAGGCACGACATCTCACCCCTTCCGTGAGCTGATGAAGTGATGCCGTATTGTTGAAACGGCTTAGGTGTTCGGCGGGATCCGATGTGCCATTGTACTCGAACGAAATGGGTCGGTAGCTAGCGGGTATGGGGTCATCATCGAGGTGTTTTGCGAAAGGGCTAGATCCCACGAGATCTCGCATTGACCTGTTCCGTAAGGCCTTTAATTCGTTCATATCACGTCTCAGGCTGTCTACTTCGGTCCTGACTCCATGACTGTCGCCTCCTCGATTTTCCGAATAACTGTCGCCTTCATCATCAGTTCGCCCCTCGTTCGGAGAGCGTCTCAGGTCCCTTCTGGGTCGGTTATCCTGAGGTAAGGATTGGGCGTAATTTCGGATGGCCGTGGTGATCATGACTTCTACCTCATCTCGGGTGTACGTGCGCTCATCAGGGGGTGGAGCCGGTGCTGTAGCCGGTCTTTTCGAAGCAGCTCCAGCGCTCTGAAATTCAAAAGAAGGGCTTCCTGAAAAGAGAGGGACCCGTCTCTCTTTCTCGGGCGTGAGCAGGCTGCACCCGGACTTCTCCCTCGAGGCAGGCGGCGGATCAACGCCAGGTGTATCGTGAGCTGCTGCCTCCAGCTCCTTCTGTAGGTTTCGGGTAACCGTGTCTTCTCCTTCCATTCTTTCTCCACGTTCTTAGCTCAGATCTGGACTTCCGGGGGTAGATCTGATTTTTCCCGGAAGCTGTTTTTCCCGAAACTTCAAGTATTTCCCACAGACGGCGCCACTTGATTTTGTCCGTAGGTCTTCGTCTTCCTCAAGCCAGCTTCGTCCGTACTCCGGTGGATAAACCTGCAACGCCGGGAGGGGTTCCCGGCGGGAAAGCTCCGACGATCAAGTCAGTGATCGGAATAAAGAGAAAGACGTGTAATGTGATAGTAGTTAGTGGATATATTTCTCGTGTGTGTGTGTGTTGATTCTCTTATTTATAGATGAGGAAAGCTTGGCCTCCAAGGCTTTCCTTTTTTAGGGTTTCTCTTTTCCCCCAAGTCATATATCTTGGGCCTGTATTGTCCTGGGCTCGCCTTACCCCGTTTTGGTATTGGGCTGGCGAGTTAAAGTATTCCCACGTGGTTCCGAGGTTCGCACCATACGGCGACCTCGCTCATAATACCGAGCTAAGTCGTCATGGGTTCTTCATTGTGGGCCAATCATGTTGGGCTTACCCTAATGGGCTTATGCTTATTTGTTAATTGTCAAACAAGCCCGTATCATCTATTTTTTCATTATTACCTGATACGTCCTCGAAACTATTAAACATTTACGAAAATGGTCCCAAAACGTTTCTGACAGGTGTCAAGGTTTCGGTTTCCACCCCTATATGTATGAAATTCCGTTACGATTCCAACCAGAGCCACTAACTACAAAATTAAGTCACTACTAATTTACTAAATTTTAACATTTACTTTCGAATATAAACCCTAAATCAGTTTGAATCTTTTTAATTAAACATATTATTAAATTCATAATATCTACAAATTAAATTCACAATATTTACAAAAAGAACAAAAAGAAAATGAAAAAGCCCATTTCCCCTTAGTTGCATGCAGCCCACCATTGAAAAATGGAATATATAATTCTAATTAACAAAGTGGAAACAATTGTGGGCCAGGTTTTGGCGCCAAGATGTTAATTTCGTTGACCGCCCGCGCGCTATCTTCTTCCTCTTTTCTTTCTGTTGGGAATTTCGTCAAACACCTTCCGACCATTAACCCATCCATCCTCAAACTCAGCCTCATCCCCACCAGAAAACCCACACTCTCACTCCGCCGCGCCGCCGCCTCCTCCACCGATTCCTCCGCCGCCGTCGGTGGCACCGGCACCCCTCATTTTCAAACCTTAACTTCTCACCAGAAACATCAAATTAGTCTCTACATCGACTCTCTTCTCCAATGGAACCAGGTTTCTTTCTTTTTACCACAGTTACACCGTCTTAGTATTTGATTTTGATTTTCCGTTGATTAATATATTCAAAAATTGATTTTTGGGGTGTGCAGAAAATGAATCTCACGGCGGTGAAAGAAGAAAGCGAGGTGATGGAAAGACACGTGGAGGATTCGCTAGCTATTATAGATCCAATTCGCAATTCATACCTGTCTCGATGCGGGAGCTGTTTCGAAGATTTGAGCGTTGTCGATGTCGGAAGTGGAGCAGGGCTTCCTGGATTAGTTCTTGCAATCGCTTGCCCCGGTAATAAATTAATCGTCAATTTCATGAATTTTGATTTGTTATTTTTTTATTGGATGGGCAAGAAAATATTTTTTGTATACAGTATAACCTCGATAAATTAATAACCTCGCTTAAATAATAGTTTCTTCTGGTCCCGACTCGGTAAAAACCTACTAAATTATTAGTTCGATAATTTAATATTCCGCTAAAGTAATAGAATTTTGTTAGCCCCAACTGTATTAATTTATAGAGGTTTAACTGTAGTTTTAATTTCTTAGGATTGAATTTTTGTTGCGTAGGTTGGAAGGTGACACTGTTAGAGTCAATGAACAAGCGTTGCGTTTTCTTGGAGAATGCCGTCGAACTCATTGGCCTGCAGAATGTGCGAATCGTACGTGATCGAGCCGAGGTATGAATTTTTTTATGTTGATATAACGGTTTTTTTTTTCTACGCGTATTTGATGTCGTTTTTCGTTAACATCCTTGAAAAATTTGTCGATTCACGTTTTCTAAATTAGTTATTTGATGGAATGTTCTTGAATCGATTCTTTCATCTACAATTGGATATACCTCGCGTAATAGTCGTGAATACGTATGTCGTGTGAACAGAATCTAGGACAGAATCTTGACTTCAGAGAGGGTTTCGACATTGCAGTTGCTAGAGCAGTTGCAGAAATGAGAGTTCTTGGTATATACGCACTCGTAATTAATTATTCTCGTTTGTATTCTTTAATTTAATTTGGGTGGTAAAATTCAGTCCCGTAGCATTTGATTTTTCTTCGCATGCAGCTGAATACTGTCTTCCTCTAGTCCGTGTCGGTGGTTTGTTCGTAGCAGCAAAGGGTCACGATCCTCAGGTATGATGCTAACTGCATGCACATTTTTCGTGTATATATATATAGGCAAGGCAAAGTATGCATGCATTTAAATTTCTATAGATTTAGGTCAAGTATGTTATATTTACGTATTACATACACCGTTTTTTTCCAGGAGGAAGTTGCAAAAGCTGGAAGAGCTATTCATTTGATGGGTGCTTCTCTCTTGCAAACGTGTTTCGGTATGTATCTTGTTCGTCGACTGTAACTATTACACCGAAAATTAAATTTTATTATTTAGTACGTCGTCTATTTTCTTTTCATTTTTTCTAACAATCTATTGCGTTTCAATGTAGTGGAATCACACAGCAAATATGGACAAAGAACAGCAATAATATGCCTAAAAGACAGTCCAACCCCTAGAAAATATCCTCGTGCTCCCGGTACTCCATCGAAGATGCCCCTATGACGTGAATGCTCGAATTTTGTTTGGTTAATCGTTTGTTGTATTATACTATCGTGTGTGTTTGTATTGATCACGAGAATTCATGTGCGAAACAAATATAGACATTTAAGTTAAGTTTATTTGGCCTCTGCATTGTATCAAGTTTCATTTGGAATTTGATAGAAGAGTTTAATTTGAGGAGATTATATTTCAAATAACTCTCATTATGCGATGAATTTGATGGAATTAGAAGCTTATTGCATTTACTACCTCTGTAAAAATCGCAACAGTCTGCGATTTCCTCTGTCATAAAGAAATCAGCAAATACGGCCATGTGCTTATTTTTAGACAACACACTTGATCCACTTATCTTTTTTACTGTTAACCAGTCACGAAAAGACCAAAATACCCCGTGGGTCTGTTTGCAAAAATAAAAGCCCCAGCCTTTACACTCATTAGTTTTAAAACTAAGGGACCAAATTGAATTTCTAAAAACGGAAGAAACTAAATGAGGTTAAATTGTAATTTTCAAAATTAACTTAATTATCGAAAATAAAACTTCATCATCATCTTTACAGGACAAACCAGCCTCCACCACCAACATCCACCGTCAGGGGCATGTGTAGAACTTGGGGGCTGCAGATTTTTTTTTTCTTTTACCAATTTTTTGTTAATTTATTTTATTTTATTTTTGTTAAACTATGGTTCTAATCTATGGTTAATGGCATTTAATCCACTTGAGATTATGCATGTGAGTTGCAGATGCACTTGGTCACGTGAGCAGCACATGTAGGTGGTAGGTGGAGCTGATTCTTGGAGAAAAAGAAAGAGCTCTCATTGGCTGATATAAGAGGAAGGCACATGGGATCATGTGCCTCGGTTGGGCTATATATAGCATCATATCTGCTGTGCTGAAAAGCAACGTGAGCAACACTAGAGAGATAGTGTATTACACTAGGAAACACGAGAGTAAGAGAGAGAGAGTGAAACTTCTTTCAGGTTTGGATAGGGTTTCTATTAGATCTGAGCTGGTTTGTGCTCATGATCTGATCTTATTGCTGTGTACGTGTAATTGTTGTAATCTCTGGATATAGTGGATTGGAGTGTGCTGCTCCCGGGGATGTAGAACTCACACCAAGTTCGAACCTCGTAAAATTGCTCTTGTTCATTGTTCTTCTTTTGATTACTGTAAGTGTGTGTGTGTGATATGTGTGCATGAGTGTGTGTAATTATAATATACTGCAGAACTCATTTGATCACCTTAGATTCATAACAAGTGGTGCGGTGAGCGTGGATCGATTGAAGGTGACTGGTTAATTCAAATTGTGCATCAATAAACACAGATCTACACCTTCAACACAGTCACAGATTCATATTTGAAGAAGATAAGTTCCTCTAAGTTTGAATTGGAGAAATTCAATGGTGAAAATGACTTCACACTCTGGAGGATAAAGATGAAGGCCTTAATGGTTCATCAAGGTACTTCTATAGCTCTAGATCCTAAATCCTTAGCTGCCATTGAAGATCAAAAGGCAATTCCAGAGATATTATCAAAAGCTCACAGGGCTCTGATTCTGAGCCTTGGGGATGAGTTGTTGAGGGAAGTTTCAGAGGAAACTACTGCCCTAGCCATTTGGGAGAAATTGGAGTCAATCTATATGAAGAAATCTCTGGCAAATAGATTGTATATGAAAAAGAAGCTGTACTCACTTCACATGGAAGAAGGCACTGAAATCAGAAAGCACTTGGATGAGTACAACAGGATAATCCTTGATCTGCATGCAGTAGGGGTTAAAATTGAAGAAGAGGATCAAGCTATTATCCTCCTCAGTTCATTACCAAAGACATATGAGCATATTGTGGATGCAAACTATATGGGAAGGAAACACTCACTATGACAGAGGTCAAGTCAGTGCTAAACTCCAAGGAGCTACAGAAGAAGCAATGAATGAGCTCAAATGTAAATGGTGATGGACTCACAGGGAGAGGAAGAACAGAGAAGAAGGACCAAAGGAGAGGCAGAGGAAAATGTAGATCTAAATCTAGACAACCTAACAAAGGTACCAGAAGATGCTACAAGTGTAAAAATGAAGGCCACATTAGGAGATTCTGTCCAGAAAGAACACAGAAGAAAGTGGACTCTAACTACAGTGATAAAGGAGATGCATCTATAGCATCTGATGGTTATGAATCAGCTGATGTATTGACTGCCACCTATGTTGAAGATGGAGATGTTTTAGTAACATCATACGCAAATTCAGGTGGAGAATGGGTACTTGATTCTGGATGCTCATTTCATATGACTCCAAACTAGGAATGATTTCAAGATCTCAAGGAATCAGAGAAAGGAATGGTACTTCTTGGAGACAATAAAGCTTGCAAGATCTTGGGAATTGGAGCTGTAAACTTGCAACTATCCTCTGGTCAGAAAAAACTGGTAAATGGAATGAGGTATGTTCCTGCCTTGAAGAGAAACCTTATATCTATTGGTATGTTGGATGAAGCTGGTTATGAAATGAGAGCTAAGAGTGGAGTGATGAAAATCCTAAAAGGATCTCTGATAGTGATGAAGGGTATTTTGAGAAATGGCATTTACTTCCTAGATGGTTCCGTGTCAGCTAATACATTTGATGTTGTAGTATTGGATGATACCACTTTATGGTATAAAAGGCTTGCTCACATGAGTGAAAGAGGAATACAAGAGCTTGTGAGGCAGAAGCTTCTTGGTGGAAGCAAGATTAAAGAGCTAAAGTTTTGTGAAAATTGTGTTTTGGGAAAAGCAAAAAGGGTGAAGTTCAGTCAAGCTGTTCACACAACTCAACACAATCTTGAATACATTCACTCTGGTTTGTGGGGACCATCAAGGACTGAGACTATGGGAGGTTGCAGATATTTCATGTCACTTATTGATGACAAATATAGGAAAGTGTGGATTTATCTGTTGAAAAACAAGGTTGAGACATTCTCAGTTTTCAAAGCATGGAAACAAAAGGTAGAAACTCAAACTGGTCTGACAATCAAACATCTAAGAACTGATAATGGCTTGGAGTTTGTGTCAGAAGTATTTAATAAATTCTGTGAAGAGTCTGGTATTACAAGACACAGAACTGTAAGGAGTACCCCTCAACAGAATGGTTTAGCAGAGAGAATGAATAGGACTATACTTGAGAAGGTGAGATGCATGCTGCTGAGTTCAGGTTGTTCTAAAAAGTTTTGGGGTGAGGCAGTCACTACAGCTTGCTATCTTATAAACAGAAGTCCCTTATCTTCTCTAAAATTTAAAACTCCTCAAGAAATTTGGACCAGCCAACCTCCCACATATGATCATTTGAGAGTGTTTGGATGTGCAGCTTATGCTCATGCGAGGCAGGATAAGCTGGAAGCTAGAGCACTTAAGTGCATTTTTCTAGGCTATCCAGAGGGAGTAAAAGGCTATAAGCTATGGTGCATAGAAAAAGGAAATCAAAAGTGCATAATTAGCAGAGATTTGACTTTCAATGAAGATCAAATGCCTTTGCTACTGGAGGCATCATCTTCAGACATTGCTGATACAAGGGAGCTCAAATTGAGATGGAGTTTGCCGATCCTGCCCCAATGTCAGAAAATGAAACTTTAGAGGATGAATCACTACCTATTTAAGAGACATTGGAAGAATCAACTGAAGTTGATAATCTTCAAAATTATCAGTTGGCAAGGGATAGAGTTAGAAGAGAAAAGAAAGTGCCTAACAGGTTAGGAATATGCAGATATCATTGCATATGCTCTTGCAGTTGCAAATGAGGCAAACAAGAGTGAACCTACAAGCTACAAAGAAGCTACTGAAAGTACTGAGAATAGACATTGGTTGAAGGCTATGGAAGAGGAGATGTTATCTCTCAAGAAGAATAGCACTTGGACACTGGTGAAAAAGCCAATGAATCAAAAACTTGTTGGCTGTAAGTGGATTTACAGATTGAAAACAAAAATACCTGGTGTTGAAAGGCCAAGGTACAAGGCAAGGCTTGTTGCAAAAGGCTTTACTCAGAGAGAAGGTATAGACTTCAATGAGATTTTTTCACCAGTTTTAAAGCAAACCTCAATCAGAATAGCACTATCTCTTGTAGCTCAGTTTGATCTTGAACTTGAACAAATGGATGTCACCACCGCCTTTCTTCATGGTGAGTTAGAAGAGACTATATATATGAAGCAACCTGAGGGTTTTCATAATGGTGATGAAGAAATGGTGTGCTTGTTACACAAGTCTATATATGGACTAAAACAATCCCCAAGACAGTGGTACAAGAGGTTTGATATGTTCATGCTGTCAATAAACTTTGAGAAGAGCAGTTATGATAGTTGTGTTTATCAGAATGGATCAAAAGATGAGGATCGAATTCTTCTTCTCTTATATGTTGATGATATGTTGATCACTGGGAAACATGTTAGAGAGATCAGAAACCTCAAGATCAAACTGAAAGGGGAATTTGAAATGAAGGACACGGGTAATGCAAGTAGAATTCTTGGCATCGATATTAAAAGGAATAGAAAGAAGAGTGAGTTATTTCTATCTCAGAAAGAATACTTAGAAAAAGTCCTCTCTAAGTATGGTATGATTGATTCCAAACCAGTTGGAACTCCTTTGGCTGCTCATTTTAAGTTAAGTCAAAATCAGAAGCCAAACCCTTCAGAGAAAGAGCAGTATATGCAGAATATTCCTTATGCAAATGTTGTTGGAAGTATTATGTACTGTATGGTGTCAACAAGACCAGATCTTGCTTATGCTTTGAGCATATTAAGCAGATTTATGGCAGAGCCTGGTAAGACACATTGGATTGCTTTGAAGAGCTTGTTAAAGTACCTAAAAGGTACTTGTGGTTTGGGAATTATGTATAAGAGAGGCAAGGAAGATGGTTTTACAGTGCAAGGTTTTGTAGACTCTGATTATGCTGGTTGTGTAGATACAAGGAAGTATCTACCTGGTTATATTTACACAGTTCATGGAGGAGCTGTGAGTTGGAAATCTTGTCTGCAAAAGGTGGTAGCTCTTTCAACTACAGAAGCAGAATATATGGCTGCTACTGAGGCTGTGAAATAGGGGTTATGGTTAAAGGGATTCAAGGAGGAGTTGTCTGGGAAAGATGAGAAGATCATCTTACACTGTGATAGTCAAAGTGCTATATTTATCATTAAAAATCCAATGTTTCATGAAAGATCAAAGCACATAGCTATCAAGTTCCATTTTATTAGAGAGGTTGTA